GGTTCAGTGAAAGTTCCACTCCTATGTCCTGATGCAGCAATCCAGCCTTGCTCTTGGTGAAGGCTGGTGAGCACCAATTGTCAGCTGAAACGTCGTGAAGGAAATGCATTGCTACTGGAAATTGAGATAATCTGTTTAGGAAAACACGGGTATTAGACATTTTTATTTCTCTCCATATAGAAGTAATTATTAATGTAAAAATTCTTTGTATTTTTCATTCCAGCTTAAATACAGGACTCCATAATCTCCCCATCTACATTTTGCAATAACTTATGTATTGAGGGAAAGTGTTGTTTCTACAATCATTTTCTACTTCCACCTTATTTGTGTTGTTATTGGCAAATGTTTTCTTATTATGTGTGTATTACTTTTGGAATTGGTGAGGATGTACTAGCCTAATTCAGCATATATGTACTGAAAGAACATTTCTATTGTCTTATTATAATTTGCATAATTAGAAAGATTCTTCATAATTAAAGGAAATTTTTTCTGATGTCTGTCATTTTGTCAGACCTATCAAAAGCATAAAAAATATTAATAAATGGAAAGTATCTCTCAGAGGCAAGGGTGGAGGGTGGTTCTTATTTCAGACAGGATTTTGTAAACAGGTACATTTTGTACAATATCTTTGTTTCATAATGGGCAGAAGTTTTATTTATGAAAGCATAATAAAAAGAGCAAAAGAGACCTTGCTTTTCCTAGTAGTAGTATAATGTGTAGTAGTGAGTATAATGTATATGCATTTTTGGTCACAGGTTTGAACTGGACTCCAGTCAGAAGTAAGCAAAATCACTAGTTGTGCAATGGCACATGCTGCATCTGTAGTGTATCAAATATTGTGTATATTTTGATGCAGTGTAAATGTGAGTAATATATCTGGCAACTTACTGGCAGAAAAATAGCATCAATCCATTGAATTGCTTTTCTCCTGGGGCAGATGAAATGCTGAACTGCTTAAAACTAAGACTGATAAAGAGGAGTAAAGAACCTTTGATTGATAAAGAGAAATAAAGAACCTTAAACAGCTGTAGATACTGGGGAATACTGGCTAAAATGTCAGAGACTCAGTTTGATAATTCATAGATTTTTGGTCATTTCTTTCTCCTTCTACTTCTCCAAATGGGACTCAGTTTTCATAAGAAATATAATAGACTTCTACAGTTATAATTTCTTGTGAAAACTTGTTCACCCATGAACTCTGTTGCAGATTAGCTGATCTATTAACACATATTATGTTTTAAGAATTTAATTTTATTCAGTATAAAGATGCTTAGCCTTAGGTGTACTATTTGTCATCTCTTAATATTCCACAGTGGAATCTCATTAGTACGGTTTATCAAGTATCTGGATTGTGAGAAGAGCATTACTTTCCATCCATTTCTTCTCTCATTTCTGTATGGATTTATTATATTTTTCATCTCTTTCAGATATGTGTAATAATGTTGAATGTGAGATTAATAAGTCTTATTCCTTTTTCTAATTTTTTCTATTTTAATACAAAACACTTGAAACCAATACAATGAACTACTGACTGAAGGGAAATTGTATTTGAACAATGCAAATTAATGCTGTAATACTTTTTACTGAGAGATTTGTTGGGTTTACAGTAAATTCCTGTTTATGGTTGGGAGTTTATTTTGAAAGAATGAAGTTAAAAATTTAGCACTACAGTCCAGTTACCAGAAATCAGATGTGTGTTTGACAGTGTGTACTGTGTACAGGTGTGCAATGGTAGAATATCTGAAAAGTGTGTTGGAGGGAAAATTCATAGCAGCTGCTGTATTAGGGAACATACTGGCTGTTGCTTAGTCACTCATTTATTTTAGATATTTGCTGGAGACTATCCCTTGTTTGTGTCACGGTATTCTGTGTAGTAGTTGGGTGGCTTTTTCAGTGGTTTGAAATGCACTTGCTTTTCTATTTTGTTCCATGGCCTCATCAAGCTGTTCAGAAAAACTAGACAGACCTGGGCCTCTTTGTTATGGTTGTCTACATGTTTGACATAATTCCAGTGAAGCTCACACTGGTTTACATTAGATGAGTTTTATTTGCATTTAAACTACAAATGACAACATAAGATTAATTTTTAATATATATAATTTTAAAATGCAACTCATTGTTACAATCCAAGGACTGTAATATTTATTCCCCCCTCCAGTACTTTGCTGTTCCCCTACACTGAAAAGAATAGCATTTAAAGTAATTCTGAATATTATTGTCACCTTTTGTTTACTTTCATGTCAGTCTGGTCTACCTATTGGATATTGGTTTTTTACTGACACAGACAATGGTTTCTGCCTGGCATTTGTAGTATCCAAGGCTTACCTGCTATCTTTTTTTCCTGTTTCAAAAACTTGAACAGAGGAGAGAGAAACCCCGTGAATATTTATCATGACTCTGCACCTGTTTTTCTTCTGTTCTGTGACTCTGTGTTTTGGATATACAAGTACTGGCAGCTGGCTCCCACCACGTGCAGTCCATGGTGGAGAAAGAAATTTGAAACGCATCTTGCTTAACAAACTAGTTTGTAATAGGGAAGAAATTGTGCAGAGTGAATGATAGCCAGTGCTTTTCAGTGGTGTGTTCATGAGATCTGAAATGAAAGCAATCTCAATCTACTAATTTAACTGTCGCAGTAAATCCTTTGCCAAAAAAATGGTGGGGAGAAGAAGAAATAAGGCTGAAAGTGACTGGTTCTGGTAGTTATTTTGTCTAAGCAGGGAATGTGATTCTAAGCAGCTTATCTAGGACCAAGGGGAAACAGTAATGTTAACAGACTAGAAAAAACATGTATGCAGAGCACTTGGATAGAAAGAAAGAGAAAGCTACTATGCATGAGGAAAATATGATTATATTGTGAGGTCAGCTAATGATAGGATCATTAAAAGTAAAAATAATTACTTCTGGTGAAATGCTTGTCTGTTTGTCATGGTGTGGGACGTGAATAGTGAGTTGTTACATGTAACACTGCTATTTAATCTGTTGCAATAGCCAAACGTAAGGGAATTAATTTAAAGAAAGACAATTAATCTCAGTTTGGTTGCAAGACACATACATGAATTTAGAAAAGCTTTTGATGGGCACTGGGAGCAGCCTTGCAAAGATTCTGTCCCAAGCACCATAATGCTTGCAGTTATTTGCTATATAGTGTTCAGGTGATACTTGCGGGCACCTTACTCTCTTCTGGGCAATAAACAAACTGCACCTGTTTGTATTTTCTGTTATTTATATTGAAAGACTTTAACTGTATTTAATTACATGGTAAGTTGTGTGCTGTCTTATCTGCTATGTCAGATGCTGTGTGGTGGGGTTTATATGGTATGGTGATAGTGCACACTAAATACTAAAGGAGGGTAGATTCAGACTAGATATAAGAAAGACATTTTTTACTGTCAGTGTGGTAAAGCACTGGCATAGGTTGCCCACAGAGATTGTGGGTGCCCAGTCCCTGGAAACATGTACGGTCAGGTTGGATGGGTCTCTGAGCAACCTGAGGTAGTAGAAGATGGATAGGGAACCTGGTTAAAGGAGTAGGGGCGCAGGTTGTATTTTCCTCTATTCCTTCAGTATTGGGGGAAAATACTGAAATCAATAAGAAAACTCAGTTGATTAACACATGGATAAGAGGCTGGTGCCGTAAGTGGAATTTTGGTTTTTTTGACCATGGGGCAGCTTTCATGGAACAGGGTCTGCTTATGTCGGATGGGGCACAGCTGACTCAGAAGGGGAAAAGGATTATGGCCCAGAAGTTAGCAGGGCTGATTGAGAGGTCTTTAGACTAGGTTTGATGGGGGAAGGGGATGGGACCAGGCTCACTAGAGATGAACCTAGGGGTGGCATGCCTGTGTCAGGGGCAAAACCGTTAGCCCAGCTGAAGTGCGTTTACACCAATGCATGCAGTTTAGGCAACAAAGAGGAGGAGCTGGAAGCCATTGTACAGCAGGAAAGTTATGATGTAGTTGCCATCACAGAAACGTGGGGGGACGACTTGTAAAACTGGAGTGATGCAATGCATGGCTGTAAGCTCTTTAGAAGAGACAGGCAAAGCAGGAGAGGCGGCGGGGTAGCATTGTATG